AACAAGACAAACTATGCATTTACAGTGTCCAGTAAATGGGGATAAAACCAGAATTAAGTATGCAGTACAAGCTAAACATTTTCCATGAGCACACCAGTAAACAGATTCGGGGGATCTACAGGGATAACTGTTTACAACACAATTGCTATTAATAGTTATTAACATGAAAAAGGATCATAGATGAATGTTAATGTTCCTTCACTTAAATCATATTTATTCAACATCATCGTACTCTGCATTTTTCTTCAGTCATCCACCTGCAGACACCTAATGCTCCCACCAGGGGGGGGTCACTTCACAGTTTAAGAACTACTGTGTTTACCATGCTGAAGAAGTGGGAGAAAAAAGAAAATATAGAACTTGGGATTTGCTGTTTTTTGTGACTTAAACTGCAACAGTAAATTTGATTTTTCACAATTTTCTCACATAGTACAGTAAAAACTGTAAACATAATATAATTTCCCTACTGCCTCTCAGCTCTCTCACAACATCCTGAGCGGACTCCATGAGATCAGTCGCTGTGTGGCCAGCCAGAACTACCAGCGGGGTTTGGAGGTCCACACTCAGGTGGTCAGCAGCAGCAACTTCAGCGAGATCTCCGCCTTCATGCCGATCCTCAAAGTAGTCATGACTATCGCCAACAAGCTGGGCGTGTAACCTCCAGGTTCACCACCAACCAGACTTCAGTGTTACCATATTGTTGTATATGTATTTATTTCTTTTTGGCCTGATGACTTGCGTCAATAATGAGAATAATGGCTGATAATATTACAGATCGTGTTCTTCATCACTCCGTACAGTTTCCTTGCCAGAAGACTTGCCTGATTTGGGCAGTGAGGTTGGTTTTTGTAGAGAGTTGTCGATGTTGCTGTGATAATTTTACAAAACAAGAAAGAGGAAAAAAAAGTTGAATGTATTCCAAAATTTGTGATTCTGTGTACATTCAAGAGTTGATGTAATATACGAAGCAAGTGGTGCAAAGTCTGAATTGAGGTAGTTTACAAAGTGGTGCATTTTCATATTCCATATTACACTGCACACCAGTGCATATAGAAGTCCAGTTCAGCATTAGAAACAAACATCTTTGACTAGGAACTCTCATCTCCAAAGGTCAGACTAAAAATCATGAAAATAAAATCTGGGCTGCACTTACTATCCACCCTGTCGGTGTTCTTTGTGTGAGGGAGGAACAGGCTGACACGCTTTACTCGGTGTGTATAATTTTACAACAACAACAACAAGCATCAACACGTTTAAACACTGTAACATAGATCTTACTGTTCTCTACACTTGCTGTAATAGATTGTTTCCAGTTCATTGTGCCATGTGTGTTTTTGGGCCAAAGTACTGCAGAAGAATGTCATAGAGTGATTGTCAAGTTTTGCTGTTTTATTTCCTCTTCCACACTTTATTAGCACTGGTACAATATTTCCTGATAGCTTGTGTGAACGACTGAAGTTTTTTTGTTTTGTTTTGTTTTTTTTCTCAGTCTTGCTTCAGTATGCATGTTAACTACTTCCCCTATTGCTCACGGGGCAGCTTGTAAAACAAAAGTACACAATTTTATGTTAAACTGAACATGAACTAACATCCCCTCTGTGTTAGCCACTCCTTCTGTTAAAGATACACTATTCCTCTTTATCCAGGCCACATCTTATCCTTTCATAACCTAAAGTTCCCATTTTTAAATCATACAAGTTTTAGATTAGATCATAATAATGATATGACTTAAAGGATTTGACAAAACAAAGATCTTAAGAGTTTTGTAGCTGAACATAAAACTTTATAGTTTGGTGTGTTGTGGCAGCAAAAGGCAGTGAAGTGCCTCAGTGTGCCCATTGTGGTTGCACAGATATTTATACAATCCATCTTGCTTACTTTATTCATTTCGGTATCCTTTTTTCAAATAAAATTTCACTTAAAAGGTTGCACGTTTCTAACCATTAACTGTCTCCTTGTTCATATTCAATACAATTTTTTTGTCCTTTTTCTAGTGATCCCTGTAAGGGAGGTCATTTGCCTGTTGCACCAACCCTCTGCATGACTTCCTTCACTACATCCAAGAACTTGTGTGGTCTTCTTTTTCCCTTATTGTCTGCCAGCTCCCGCTTCAACATCCTTTATCCAGTATATCCACTATCCCTCTTTGTCTCCAAACTCTTAAACCGGAGCTGTCTCTCCTCATCACCTCCAGTGAACATCTTTAACATCTTCAGCTCTGCCTCCTGTCTCCAAACCATTCTCCATAGCTCGTCATTCTACTATCTTGTAAAGCTTTCCTTTCACTCCTGCTGCTGTCCTTCTACTGCAAATTACCTTTAATACTCATCTCCACCCAGTCCACCTTGTCTGCATTCTCTTGCACACACTTCATTGCTTTGGAGGGTTGATGCTAAGTATATAAACCTCTCTTCCATACTGTCACTAGAGATCACAATGTCACTGGTACCGACGTCTAATAAGGCAATGACATTGTGGTTTAGCAAAACAGTTGAACTCTGATCTCTTTAATCGGTGATCTCCTCACTCCATCTATCTTATTCAAAGTATCCACAGTAACAGGCCAGCTGAAACCTATCCCAGCTGTCATTGGACAAAAAGCAGGGTTCACCTTGGACAGGTCACCAATCCATTGCAGGTCTAACACTTACAGGGACAGACAGCTACTCACGCTCACATTCACAACTACAGCCAATTTAAAATCAATTAACCTCACCTCATGAATGTCTTTGCACAATAGTAGGATGCCAGAGTACCCAGACTGAGCCCACAGAGAAAGAGAATATGCAAACCCCACACGGAAACCAGAGACGGGATTCAAACCAAAAGACTTCTTAGTGTGAGGGAGTAGTGCTGCCAATACAGTGTCTGAGTCCTTTACCCGTGCAATAAAAAAAACAATTTTTTTTTTATTAAAAAATAAATAAAAAGGTGCTCCACAGCTTCTTGTATTGCTTCATGTATTAAGTCATGTTGTGTATTGTGTATACATGACTTTTAAAGTTGAAAACTGGTTCTTCCTCTGATGCTCACTGTTAAATTGAAAACAACCATCAAAATGTGTTGTCATACCAACATTTACACAAAAACTAAACAGTTCAAAGTGTTATTCACTATTTCAATATATATTATCCCACTTTGGAAGAGAACAATGAGAGCAAATATTTAAAAGTTTGTTGCTTTTACATCTTAGAAGCAGTTGTTTTCACAGTGTGCTATTGTTATCTTGGTTATCTAAGCAATTTTCACTATGAACAGCAGAGGGCTCTGTGTAGCGTAGTCAAGCTGCTCTACTGAAGGTAAATATGGGTGTTTATCATGGTGCTTCCCGCATCAGTGCCCTCAGGTAAACTATTTTAGATGTTGATCCGTTTTCCTGTTTGCAACAAAGCACGTGAATGCATCAAAGTCTGCACTTAACGATTTGGGGGTTTTTCCCCCTGTTTGTTTGTTATCTGACCCAATTTGCACACTTAGAGGAGCGTTACACAACTCATTAAAATTCACTGCAATCCGCGAGTGTTCAGTGTCAGTAAGTTTGCAAGTTGGCACAGGTGTTTCACCCGCCCTTCCTCTATGGGGCCACAGGGATCAGAAGTCAGGATCACGCCCTCTGATTGGTCGCTCTCAGTCAGATGCTGCGGGACGTGCGTGGTGTGAATGTTTTGGGAATTTGTACTGGAGTAACCTCGGTCATGTCAGGATAGTGTGACAGTAATATCGTGCAATTTAAACCACCCCACATCACACCACAGAAGCGTGCTGAGTCATGACGTGCTGAGCCTTCACTGGTAACTTAGGTTCAGATTTTAGTAGAGCTGCAATGGGCTGACTCGAATGGATGCAATCATGCAGGACGATGACATGGATTCATAGTTAATAAAATTATGATGCCTCCAGACGCCACTCAACTGGGATTTCGAAGTTATACTACTTTAGTCCTCTCCCAGTCCCATTTAAAAATATATTCTCTGCATACTGTTAAGAAGAAAAAACACATAATCCCTATCTGCAAACACAAACTAGTTCAAACCCTGTCTACCAACAATTATAATTCTGTCATAGTGCTTTTCAGAGGAAAAATATGCTTTTATTTTACTCTGTTTTTCTTAACTATTGTTATGTTACAGAGACACATTAATAGAAAATATAATCAGACAGTATTAAGTATATGGCACAACAATGTTCAGTATTTCCAGTGTCTGTGACAATGCATTGTCTCTCTTTTTATATGTAAGAGGTGAATGCACTTGCATTTTCATTATGTCATCTGAATTAAATAGCTATTTGTTATTTTAAACACACACACATATATATATATATATATATATATATATATATATATATATATATATATAGTGTTTGTTAGTTTGTCACTGTGACCATTCTTTTGATTTAGCTTTTAGTTTTTGTTCCTAGTCTGTTAGTTTTCAGTCAGTCCCGTCTAATTCCTTGTGTTTTGTTTTGCTTCCCTTTAGTTTGAAGCTACTGTCTGTATTTGTATTTATTCCTGTCTTATTTTGGTAGTTACTCGTCTCTAGTGACTTGTGTTTAGTTTGGCTTCTACTGCCTCATTTGTCTTCAATTACTATCACCCGCATCCACTTCTGCTAATTACCCTCATGTGTATGAAAATATAAGCGTTGTCTTCCCATCAGTGTTTGCCTTTGTGTCTGCTAACCTCCCTTGTGTGTTTCTGGTTGTGTGCACTTGTGTGTCATTGGATTTCACCACTTTATTTATGAACTTTGCTTTAGACTTTTTGTACAACAGCCAGAATAAACAGATTGCTTTTTATTCACCCAGTCTGCCTCCTGTCTGTCCACGCTGTGATGATAAGAAAAAATTACAGGCAAAGTTGGAAATGCAGGTCTTTTACTCGTGTCCCTTTGGCCGGTCCATCTGAGGATCGAAATGAGCAGGGGCTGGTTTGCAATTCATGCTTCTAAATCAGGAATGGAAGATGGTGGAAAAAACAAAATAATCAAATAAAGACTGTAAAACTTCAACATTTTATTAGACTTTTTCCATAATGTCATGTGGCATTAATACACAAACAACATAATGACACTTAAGAGGTTCCAACCCTTCACTTACAGAGCAAATAAAGAACAAAGACAAAAAAAAAATGCATAAAATTGCATGATTAGATTTTGGAATCACTCTTTTGAGACACATACTCCTTAACCTCGTACAGTCTGACATGTTAAACTGGTCTCTTGTGACCACACTGGTCCTACATTCCTCTCTGGACTGTGGAAATCAGGCAGAGGCTATATTTGACTTGATCACTTATGCCAGCAGCACACTGGATGAGTTCTTTGCCACAGAAGCCCAAAGGCAACCAGGAACATGCCATTCCCCAAACCATTCCAGCTGGCTTCTTCACAGACACTCGCACTTGGTTAGGGTTATGGAGTATGATATCACTGGAGACAATTTAACACTGCGATGTCAAAAACCTTCATTTCGACATATTTTAAACTCAAAATGAAGTTGATGTACAGATGTGGTCAGAAGGGTCAATACACTCATAATGGGCATGAATGTCCTTGTATTTGAGCTTTTAAATGTTTATTTGAACAGTTAATTTTCTAAGGTGTAGTGGTTGTATAGCATATGTCTTTATTGACTTAAAAAACAATAATTGGGTGAACAAGTTTGAATTTCCTTTGGATTTTCTCTAATCCACAGGGTCAAAAGTATACATACACCCCACTAGAATCTGGCTAAATGTCTGCAAACTGCACCGTGACCAGACACTTTTGGTAGCCCTCTACCAGTTTCTTATATAATCCTAGCTGCATATTTGACTAAATGTCTTGGCAGAATTGGTAGTGGTCTTTTAAATTCGTTGGTTTTCTTCAACAGATCTGGCTTTTAAGTGTAGACCACAAGGTCGGAGCTTTGGGAAGGCCATTCCAGAAGAATAAAGTTAGCATGCTTGCCAAAATCAGTTTTGATTTGTGTTTGGTCTCAAGTTTCAACTATCTAGCTGTTAATTTGAGGTGACGTTGATAAATTTTAAGTTAATCCTGCTTGTCATTATTCTCTCCACTTTGTGCGATGTACCTATACAGCAAAACAGCCCAGAGCGTGATGCTACCACCACCATGCTTGATAGCTGGTACACTGGTCTTAGGTGTGAAAGCCTCACGTTTACTCATCCAAACATATCTCGTCGCTATGGCTAAATAGCTTAATTTTTGTCTTGTCTGACCATAAAACCTTTCTCCATAAGGCATTTTGCTCGTTCATGTGGGCATCTGAAAATTTCAGTTGAGTTTGAACCTCTCAATTTTGAAAGAGAGACTTCCTTTTTGGTCAGTACCCTTGCAGTTCATGGCCATATAAAACTGGCTTTACTGTGGACAGTCGCACTGATGTTAAAGCAGTTTCCATCTCACAGCAGGCTTGAGCCTTGGTGGTTCCTAGATTGTCCCTGAACATCCTACCCAATTTTCTTTCATCTGAGCGCAAGAGTTTAGACCAGGGGTACACTCCAGGCCCTCAAGGCCTGGAGTGTACTGCAGGTTTTAGATCTCACCCTGGGTCAGCACACATGAATCACATGATTAGTTCATTACCAGCCTCTGGAGAACTTCAGGACACATTGAGGAGGTCATTTAGTCATTTAAATCAGCTGTGTTGGATCAAGGACACATCTAAAACATGCAGGACACTGACCCTTGAGGCACCCACCCCTGGTTTACACCTTGGCAGTGGTGACACATGTGAATAACTTGTATTTACATATAGTTGTTTGAAGACACCTTTCCAACTTGTGTAAATGTTCAGTTCTACTTCTTAGATCCTGACAGTCTTGGGCTTTCATTGTTCTGATTGTTAGTCGATCCAATGAGTGCTGTCAAACAAATAATTTTTAAGAGAAACTACTAATGAGAAAGCAATAAACCCTGGCCAAGTCAAGTTAAGCAACACTGAAGCACCTTTAGCAGCACTTATTAAGATTTAAATGAGTGTATGTACATATTTGTATGTATATTTTTTAACACTATGTGGATTAAAGAAAATCCAAAATAAATTCAAATTTGTCCACCCAATTCTTAATTTATAAAGTCACTAAAATATATGCTGTACAATAATTCCACCCTGGAAAATGAAATCATTCGAAAGAGATTATTAAAAGCCCCAAATTATAATGACATTCATATCTGTGATCAGTGGATGTAAAACTCTGACCACAACTGTAGACACAGACAAGGCATTTAAATGTGTAATCCTTCATTTCCAAGAGTTAATGGACAGATTTAAGATTTGAACATAAATTATAAGATAGATTTATACATTGGGGGCGTAGCTAATACATTTCCCCCTCTCATAAATCAATTTTATTTTATTGACTATTAAATGAAGATCAGAAAGCCCAGTGGCTTCTGGTAATCTTACAAAACCCAAAATATAAATTTTACCATGACGTGAAAGAGAGGAAATCACCAATTACTCACTTTCGAGGTTAAATCTATATCGCTGAGACTAAATCTCTTCAATGAGTGCTTAAGGTGTTACTTATTATTTCTCTGTTACTTTAGTGAAGGATTTCAAGATAAAAGACAGCAGTAACAACAACGAGAAGCATTTTAACTCCATAAGACGTCCTTATGGAGTTAAAATCTTGAAAACCAATTCAAAATATCCAGGAAATGTTTAGAAATCACAGGCGTATTTAGCTTCGTTCCTGACACCAACTACAAAACCATTCTGAAAGCGAGAACTAAGTATGTGTAAACCAAAATGTCTCATGGAACTACTCTAAATGTTTGGCATGCACAGCGCAAATTTATTTAGAATCATAAAACCCAAAGACACAGAGAGTGAAAACAGAAATAAATGAGCAACAACTGTTAATGGAATTACAAGTGTATTGAAAATATTGTGAATTTATTTCAGATTTTTAATACAGTAGACATTATCAGACTGAAAACAGCTCGACCCCTCTCTCTCCTCATTAGGAAAACGCTGCTTTTGGTGCTCTGGCCAGCCGGCGTTGTTGTAATAGTATATAATGTCATCTGTTTTGGTAAGTGCTCTAATGATGTCCTCACGACAGCACCTTTGTTTTAAGTTTTTATGCCGAGATGCTGTGATAAGTTGAGAGAAGCTGGCACCATCCATCTATCAGGGCCCAAGTTAAAGCTAAAGTGCGAGACCTTTGGATAGTAATTAATTTACATTCACGGAGCTGGGTAAGCCTAATGGATAAATCTGTTTAGTCAAATTAAAGGATTAAATATCAAATATAGCATTAGCTCAGGAAGCCCAAACAAGATGATCCACTGATATACATCTAACTTACAAATACATGGATCTTAAAGCCAGTTTTCAGTTGCCGTCTCTACAACAAGCAACCTACTTCCACCCAGCTCCTTTTTCATACTTTTGCAATTGATGGGTGCTCCATTTTATACTGGGAGTCTTACTGCTGCTCCGCCTGCTTTCGGCTTTCACCACCCATGGCATAGCTACAATGACAAAGCAATGGTGGAAAACCCTATGAAAGCCAATGCGTTCATGGGCAGGATCACAATCTCAAAAAAAGGAAGAAGTGATCAACGGCTAGGGCAACACCGATCGCCACAACTGCTCTCACATCCATAAAAGGGAAGCAAAAGTTTCGCACTGCAGCTTTAAACCTCACGATGTAACATTCTCGCCAGCTTTTCATTTTGTACCGGACTCTTTTACGCTTAAATCCTATCCTCCGTTTGCATGTACATTTCCTCAGTGTTGCCATGCTACGTTTGCCTAAAATTAAACATGATTTTAGGAGAAAAACAATGTTCCACTCAGTGTAAACACGGAACTCAGAAGTCAAATTTGTTTTGCGGTACTCGAGCATTTTTGACTCAACTGACAGGAAGCGAAGGAATGGATGCAAGTCATAAGGCATTAGGTTGATCCTGACTCTTAAGAACAAATGAACAATTGCTCCAGTTTTCAGATTTTTTTTAAAGATATATTTTTACAAGGCTGTCAGCCAAATATTGGAATGCAGAAATATTTTTATCAGGTTCGAACAATATTTTCTTTTGCTTTTTTTTTTTTGAAAGTCGATAAGAAAGAAAAAACAATTAAACACATAAATAATCTACGCATTCCACACATCAGAATCAAAGATTAACATGAACACTGATGCACCTAAAATTCTGAAATAACGACCTTTGTAGCACATCAAAGGGAAACCAGACCCTGTTCGGAAATCAACGCGGCGCCAACGGTTCTGATGATCCAAAGCGATGCAGCTCCACAGTACGTTACAAAAATAGACGCAGTTCTGCCTTCACAGTCACCGACACAACACCTCACTACAACACCTACTACAGTATATCGCCATGCATGGGTGACATGTTGTTTTGTAACGCCAGAACTGCCACATGACTGGCTGCTACACCTATCAGGGAGCTCTATGCTGCAGATGTTTAAGGACAAAATAGTCACACGAGTTGGATAAAATCAGTTAAGCAAAAAGCCGCTCATGCCACAATGTTAAAAAAAAAAACAACTCCAACAATCATGTTATGCAAAGAGGCGACTTAGTGTGCTCTAGTGGACCACAGAGATGGTTGTAAAAATGTTGTCATTTGACACGCTCTTGGCACTAATGATATATTCATCCAGCACCCAAAAACTCCGTGAAATTTTTTATCTTTCTAAGGTAAAGTTACAATTCTCATTAACTGCTTACGCTAAGGGGCAGTTTCATTCTAATGTTAAACAAATTCCCTATATTATCGCGAGAAAACTCCGTCCAATTATTGCACAGCTAATCTTTTTCAAAGTGCTTGAACTTTTCTCAATAGATATCCAGTGTAGATTTCTGCTAAAGGCAACCACAGTGTTGCACCCTGCAGGTTGTGTAAAGCTTTGGCCTACTGGTTGTCAGAATGCTCAGGCTAATAGGAAGGTCTGGGTTCCCTCAGTATTCTCTCATATTTCATTAAAGCAAGCATTTTATTTCTTTATTTTTTTTTTTTTTTGCAAAAAGCAAAACAAACATGAGCTCTCACCTCTTCATTTCAAATCTAAACTGCTCAGAAATTAAATCTATTTATGAGAACAGTTGAAAACTTGTTGTAAACTACAATAAAGGCAACACTCTTGAATCAGTAATGTACCTTAACAGTTAAAATGTTACTCCATATTTAAGTGCTCCACTCCTTGTCAGTTTTGAAGAATAATTAATTCATACTTACATAAAAATGATCGGCTACATAACTGATCTTGCATGAAGAATGCACACCAAAAGTGGCAAAACAGCGGAAAATGGAGGTGACTTTTAAAATGCATCTAATTCAAATCTGAAACATCTTTTTTTTTCCATCTTGAATAATTTGTTTAGTTACAGCTACAAAAACCACAAAAACAAGCAAAAATGTGGTCAAGGCCCTTATAAAGCTGACTTTAATCCTCAGAGAATGAGAAATGTATAGCTGTCAAAGGACTGTGGAATTTCTTCTTATCGGTCGTTTTGCCTTGAAGCTGACCACAGTTTAGCGATCTTAGCCACTGCGGTCTCCGGTGCGCTGTATCCGGGCCAGGACTAGCTCACGGGACACCTTCTTGCGGTCTTTGGCCAGGCCCAAGAAACACATGAAGTCGATGAAACAAGTGGTAAGGTTCAACTTGCAGCCAAACTCGCTGGTTGCATAGTCATATGGGAACGTGTGGTGATAGTTGTGAAATCCCTCACCTGCAAAGCACAGGAAACAGGAATGAACGATTCGTTAAAAAAACATGTAAAACTGGATTTCAGTCAAAAGCCGTCTTTGCAACGCGTTCCATGTTTTCAGTTTTCAGTCTTTAAAAGAAAAAGAAGATTCTTCAACTGTTTCGCTGCTGGGATCTGTGTTTACAGGTAACCTGTGGTGTTGTCACAGGTTTTGGGTGGTTCGATACCACTGGCTGTGATGTCATTACTGCTGCTCCCACCTGTCTGCTTTTCCCACCTGTAAAGTCACCTGAGCCGCGCTTCCCTCCTTTCCATTCTCTAATCATTCCCTGCAGTATTTATAATCCCACCTTACCCACTTTTCAGATCGTCCCTGAGCTTTGTCGGTGTTTGCCTGCTTATGAGGTGTACTACAAACAAAAAAAAAAAAAAAAAAAAAGGCTGTCAAACCGGAATTCTAATGTTTATAAGTTCGGTTTCATTCTTCTCCTGATGATATTCCCTAGATGCAAACCTGCTTCAGCCAAACCATGGTAATGCCACACAACTAGAGAGTAAAGACGCAGTAGCACATAAGTCCTTTTTAAACTAATACTGCAGCCAGCAATTCTGAGCTTTGAAAACGTATTGATCTATTGAACAACCCGACCAATATATCAACCGCCGATCTATCAGCCAATATTTGCTATTTGGCTGATAAGGAAAAAGAAGGGACAAGGGGAAACACCCTTCAATCATGAGTGGTGATCTTACATAGTTTGTCCACCTGAAACTCAATTTCCCTGTTGGCTACAAACATAACCAGCTGATTAGAGCAGAGCTCAGTGTATAAACAAGAAATTTACAATTACATTTATTTCCGTTGTCATATTATCTTAGTAAATAACTAGACTAGGCCTATACTATACTAAAACTATACCTAAAAGCACATCTTCATCATCATGTTATCTCAAGCTGAAAGTTGGAAAGCTCTCATGTGCTGCTGCCAACGGTACACACTGAGAGACAGCGAAATAAATGTTTCAGCCAGCAGTGCTCTATTTTTATTCCTCCATGACCTTTTTGGCTCGAGTTTAGTAGGTAGTCCTTGATTAGCTAGATAACGTTCCTTTTATAGCTGTATGCACAAAGCCTGATGAAGAAAGACTGGGTTACCCAAAAATGTTGATAACAGCGTTTTTTTATACCCTTTATCTTTATCTTATCCTATTTTAGTGTGTGTCCAGCCAGCTAATGCAACTAAAGCTTGGCCATGTGGACCTTGCCTAAAGGTTGTAGAACGTCTTGTTCTACAACCTTGTGAAACATTTTTCCCCCTGAAGAAAAACTTGTTTTGCAACCACGTAGCTTTGTAGTGATTTTGTGTCTTCCAGGCTTTGACTGTTAGGAGTTTATATGGTTTTATGCACATAAATTCTACATTTAAATTCTGATAAATTCTTTATGAAAAACTGATCAAGAGATTGGCATTGGCCTTGTTCACCAATATAAAATGATAGTCAGTGTCGGACAGCTAACTGCTGCATTAATTCAGTTTTGCACTGACTAATTGTTTGAACCTGGTGTGATGAGCTGACAGCTTTTAAAACTGTTCAGTTATTTAAAGGAAAAGCAATACTACAAAACAAAAAAAATATTGGAATTGACTAAAATGCTTTAAATGTTAATATCATCTGAGAATTGCACAGCAGTTGCATCCCTAAAATAAACAATTCAGAAGCAACTGCAGGAACAATGACAGACTGTGGTGGTATATTGGTGACATCGTGTGATGTTCCCTAACAAAAGACGACTTTCTTCACTGCATAATCATTACCAAAGATACAGCTGCTAAATTGTGCCTCTTCTAAAACTAGACTTAACTTGCTATGGGGTGAATAGCTGGGTGCCATCTTAGAATATCCAGCTCTTTTGATATATCTATCGGGTGCTCTTTGTCACTGCACTGCTGACTCCTACTGGTTGAACAAGGTGCATGCATAGTGAGGGGAGGAGGTGGACAAAGTGGTAATCAGGTAAAAATCATTAATAAAATAGGTTCAAATCAAGTATGTACTTTTTGTTTTTAAACATTTTATCCACCATTTAGCACATCTGGTAAATAAAATGTTTACATGGGCCTGTAAAAGTCGTTCCTTTTGTTTTAGTTCAATTCAGTCCAATTCAAGTTCGTTTATATAGCGCGAAATCACAGCAACAGCCGCCTCACGGCGCTTTATACTGCAAGGTAATGACCCTGCAGTATTAAGGAGGCATTCCCAACAATCGGAAGATCCCCTATGAGCAAGCTGTCGGCGACGGTGGGAAGGAAAAACTCGCTTTTAACAGGAAACCTCCGGAAGAACCAGGGGGAAACGGGGAGCCACGTGCCACGACCGTTTGCGAGGTGAGGGGACAGAGAAAAGAAAAAAGAGAAAGCATAGGAAGACAGGGCAAAACAGAAACTATGGGGGAGAGAGAGATGATAATCACTGGTTAGCAAATTTGTTTAAGCATAATTGGATGATTTGACTTTTACTGCACTGAACACTTGACGCAACTGTGCAGTCAAATAAAAGCAAAACGAGGGCATGTATCGTGTACAATGTAATTACATTTGCTCTGAAGGTGACGCTATACCGAAGTAACAAACTTACATTAAAAATCTGGCTTTTCTTCTTCAATTTTACTTAAAAAATACTTAAAAATATCCCTATACAAGCATTCGCTGTCCTGTGCTGTACATTCTGGTGTGTAATTTCTGCCATGAGCATGTGTTGGGGTGTTGTTCATACCTATAGCACTGAAAGTGACAAACTTGTTCTCTCTGGGGTTGATGTTCTTGTCATAGGGCCTGTTTCCCCACATGTGGGCAGCGCTGTTGACCAGCCAGGTAGCGTTCAGCACCAAGGTGTACCTAAGCAGAGTTGGGACGAAGTAGGCCACCCACAGAGACTCCCCCCACAGGTACCAAGGCACGATTGTTGGGATAATAAAGCACATGACCAGCACGGAGAGCTTGTAATACCTGTTGAGGAGATAGCGAGAGTAGGTATCAGCAAAAAACAAATTATTTAAATACAAAAACTCTGTTTGCCAGATAAGAAAATGCTCACTTTTTTTCCCTTTATTTCCACTTGACCTATTTTCCATTCAGGCCTGCTCTCCGTGAATCTTACGTTAGTAATTGTCATCTTGTTAAACCAGAATGACTAACACAGCTTGCCATTATGAAAACATCTCCACAGCAGTACTCTAACATTTACTTATATTTATAGAAACTGCAACACTACTGTCTTGCTATTTGCACTCATTGCACTTTGTTTTTTTTAGCAACTAGATGCAGTGTGAAGTCTGAACCTTAATCATGCCACTTACTTCCTCTGAAACATGACAACTTTGTCTGTTAGCAGGTCGGTGAGCTCCAGCTTGCGTCCTTTCTCGATCACATCAGGGTGTTTGCGCACCAACAGCCAGCCGATATGAGAAAAGAAAAAGCCACGGACGGCATTGTGAGGGTCGGCGTCTGTTTCCGAGTATTTGTGGTGAACCCTGTGGTCTCGAGCCCATTCAAAGATATCATTCTGTGGTTTGGAATTAAGACCAAGATTATGCACACTGTTGACACAGCACGGTACTTATAGTGAAACAAAAGCTGCTATTATCTTGGCTCCAGGTCATAAGTGTGTGTTTGTATACTAAAAAGATGTGTCAGCAGAACAGTCATTTTTGCTTGCCTGAAATGCCATGGAGTTAGCTACACCGAGGAAAATCCTTAAAGGTAATGCAGCCTTGTAGGATCTGTGACTCCACAGGCGATGCGCTCCTGCAGTGACTCCTAACGCACTTATCAAAAAACAAAGTACAGCTGTGGAAAGAAACACATGGGCAAATTAGTTTGACCTACTTTTGTGCTCATGTCAACAGCACTTTGTTGCACAGATGCTGCACACTGCAGTGTTTGTGCATTATTTTCTGCACAATTGCACTGTTATTGTTAGGGCTGGGAAGAACATCCAGCAACAAGTGACAGATCACGAGACAGATGCGTTTCTGTTTTTTCCCCCCAAATAGCATAAATTGTTAAAGCACTAGAGTATTTGTTTACCACAATCTTTATCAATTTGATCCAAAAGGCTCTTCGGGATTTGATTAGATTTTGTGCACAATTTCCAGCGGAAATTGCAAATTTCCCGCAGGTCACCTGGTTAGCACTGGCCTGTCTGTTTCCCAAGGAGATTACAGTGTAAAGCTGTGTCCTTTACAGTGTAAAAGAAGCCAAATCTAATAATAAAAACATTTCATGGTTGAGTTCATGAAAGACTAAAAGCTAAAAGAGTTGTGACACAGCAGTGAAGAAACTGTATAAATAAAGTGCAGTTTATGCTAATTATCCAGCTATTCTTCATTTGTCTACTTGACCTTTATTTTTAAAAAAAACTGATATTAAGGAGGCCAGTTTATTTTCCTGACAGCCCAGCTTAAAGGTACGTGCTGTGACATGTAATCTCTGATGACTTTATTCCTGATCTATAATCCTCCATCTCCATGAAGGATGCTGGGAGGATCACAAATATATGCAGCCGCCTATTTGCATTCACCACCGGCGAGAAAAGCAGGGCGCGCTGCTGACATAACAGCTGTTGATTTGATAAAATATGATTTCCACTAAATAAGTAAACAAAACCAACATGCAAAAAAGGAGAAAAGGGGGTGTAAAAGGCAATTTTCTTTTCGCACTTACACCAAAGCAAGGTCAAACGAGATGCTGAAGGTACGACGAACACGCCGTACAAGGCTCCTATGTGCAACAGAGTCATCAGTATGACATTTTTCCATACGATGATCCGGGGAGGTTTTGGGCCCTCTTTCTCTTTGTACGTGTGATCAAACGCGTCTTCTCTGGCGCTCTCTGGAAGAACATCCCCGTTGCTGGACTTGCGCTGCTGCTGCTTGTTCTCTAACGCCTCCGCCTCCGTCATTGTGGCAGCGGTGCTGTGATGCTGTGAGCGGCAAACAGAGGAGAGAAGTCAGTCGCCTCGGCGCTTTTTGTGTGTAATGGAGGCTGTTTTGTCAATATGTTAATTAATTTTGTGCTGACTAGCCCCGGCAGGCTAGCTGCTTGCTGGCTGGCGCTGTCGGAGGATGAAGAGGAAGACGGTAGCGACGATGCTGACTTATAAAGCGGTAACGCGACGCTCCAACGCGCCAAAAAAAACCCTGATGAAACACCTGTGGGAGGGAAAATTTTTACTCAATAACTCACCGAAGATAGGCAGAAGGGCAGAAACGAGATAAACGGAGGACAGTCTGCTTGACCCAAAATTACAGTAACCCAGAAAAGGGAGAGTGATAGCTCCGCAATGAGAACTAGAACTCGTGGTGTGGCCGACCAATGAGCGCTCGCCTGTCGCCTCTTGCTCGGGCTCTGATTGGCTGTTTGTTTATCTGCTGTTCACCTTTTATTCATTCTCCGGTTTGCCAGATGTATATTTGCCACCTTTGGAGACTAGCCGATCTTGTTGCTGTCTAGACATGCACAAACATTGAACCGTGTAACCGTTTTCCTTTTGAAATCACGCGTGGACTGAAACACAAGCACTGTGTTAATGATGCAAGTGGAACAAAACAAGTCACTGTACCCAAACCCCGGCAGTAGAGCCCCCTCCCCCCTGTCCTCCACCCACGTAGGAAAATAGGATGCTTCATCTGTTACGTCATCCTCATTCTCCGTCTATAGAAGTTTAATTGTGAGATACAAACTTTCAATGTGCCCAAAAATAGCATAAGCTGCTGAACACCAGAAAAAGTATTTTAGGCATGACGGGAAAAAAACAACTGAGTCTCCATAAACACTGCAGAACAGGTCGAAAAAGGCTGTTTACGTCACCCTGTGAAGAAGAGCTTTGACTCTGCTGCAAAATAGAAACAAATACACACTGCATGGCCAAATTAAGGATCACACGGCCCATATTTACCCGGGCGAGGAGCAGAAAATGGATGGATGGTTGGACGGATGGATGAACACACCAATGGGTGTTCACCCTCTTGACCTACATTTGAAAAAAAAAATGGCAATCTGTCGCCATCTAATGGTGAAAATGGGGCAGCGCACGCAGCCGATACTGTTGATTTTCTGCAAACAGGGCTCACCTATTACTAAAATCTCCAATCCCCATGCACCAGCAGCAGACAAAAAAATAGCACCACATTGATGAATGCATATCACCCACTGACTGATACATATATTTTTTTCCTGCAGCATCTATCTGGCGTCATCATCAGGCGCCCGTATTTACTTCTGGTCCAGTTAGTTGCTGCTGATGCCTGCTGCGATGGAGGTAAACAGGGACGAAGCGGAGCGCTGCATTGACATTGCAGCGGCCGCCTTAACCAACCAACAGCCGGACAAGGCGCAGAGGTTCCTGGAGAAGGCGCAGAGGCTCTTCCCGACAGAGAAAGCCAAAGGTAAGTCAATATGGGGGGAAAGGGGGAGGGGGGCGCACATTCAGCTGCGAAGATGCGCATCATCACCTCCACAGCCTGCAGCATCACCTGCACTCCTCATGAGCAGCGCATGTAGCCAGGGCCTTTGATAGCACTTAAGCTAGCTGGTTCATTTATGCAGCTTCTGCGTTTTTTCTCATTCTTTTTTTTGTACGAATTTCACTTTAAAATGAAGTGTCTGCAGTGCTTTAATTTGTTTTTCTAACAGAAAGCTAAGCCTTTAATTTAGGTGAACAGGAGTGGACTGGGAGAAAGGCTAAATAAGTCCTAGATGTCCAAGATTACTACATGCTACTTTCCCATGATCATTTCAAAAAATATTTTTGACAACACAGGTATTATCCTTCTGAGCTCGCCAATCTACAAACCGGATTGCAAAAAAGTTGGGACACAAAACAAATTGTGAATAAAAACTGAATGATGTGGAGATGGCAAATGTCAATATTCTATTCAGAATAGAACGTAGATGACAGATCAAAAGTTTAATCCGAGAAAATGTAGCATTTCAAAGGAAAAATATGTTGATTCAAAATTACACGGTGTCAACAAATCCCAAAAAAGTTGGGACAAGTAGAAATAAGAGGCTGGAAAAAGTCAACTTGAGCATAACGAAGAGCTGGAAGACCAATTAACACTAATTAGGTTAATTGGCAACATGATTGGGTATAAAAAGAGCTTCTCAGAGTGGCAGTGTCTCTCAGAAGCCAAGATGGGTAGAGGATCACCAATTCCCACAATGTTGCCCAGAAAGATAGTGGAGCAATATCAGAAAGGTGTTACCTGGCGAAAAATTGCAAAGACTTTGCAGTTATCATCATGAACTGTGCATAACATCATCCGAAGATTCAGAGAATCTGGAACAATCTCTGTGCGTAAGGGTCAAGGGCGTAAACCCATACTGGATGCCCGTGATCTCCGGGCCCTTAAACGACACTGCACCACAAACAGGAATGCTACTGTAAAGGAAATCACAGAATGGGCTCAGGAATACTTCCAGAAACCATTGTCAGTGAACACAATCCACCGTGCCATCCACCGTTGCCAGCTGAAACTCTACAGTGCAAAGAAGAAGCCATTTCTAAGCAAGATCCACAAGCTCAGGCGTTTTCACTGGGCCAGGGATCATTTAAAATGGACTGTGGCAAAATGGAAGACTGTTCTGTGGTCAGACGAGTCACGATTCGAAGCTCTTTTTGGAAATGTGGGACGCCATGTCATCCGGACCAAAGAGGACAACCCAAGTTGTTATCAACACTCAGTTCAGAAGCCTGCATCTCTGATGGTATGGGGTTGCATGAGTGCGTGTGGCATGGGCAGCTTGCATGTCTGGAAAGGCACCATCAACGCAGAAAAATATATTCAGGTTCTAGAACAACATATGCTCCCATCCAGACGTCATCTCTTTCAGGGAAGACCCTGCATTTTTCAACAAGATAATGCCAGACGACATTCTGCATCAATCACAACATCATGGCTGCGTAGGAGAAGGATCCAGGTACTGAAATGGCCAGTCAGCAGTCCAGATCTTTCACCTATAGAGAACATTTGGCGCATCATAAAGAGGAAGATGCGACAAAGAAGGCCCAAGACGATTGAACAGTTAGAGGCCTGTATTAGACAAGAATGGGAGAGCATTCCTATTTCTAAACTTGAGAAACTGGTCTCCTCGGTCCCCAGACGTCTGTTGAGTGTTGTAAGAAGAAGGGGAGATGCCACACAGTGGTGAAAATGGCCTTGTCCCAACTTTTTGGGGATTTGTTGACACCATGACATTTCACCATATTTTTCCCTTAAAATGATACATTTTCTCAGTTTCAACTTTTGTTCCGTGATTTATGTTCTATTCTGAATAAAATATTGACATTTGCCATCTCCACATCGTTGCATTCAGTTTTTATTCACAATTTGTTTTGTGTCCCAACTTTTTTGGAATCTGGTTTGTAGCTCAATACTAAATAAATACAGAAATACAACATTCAGCTGAATAAAAACAGAAAAGTGATCAATATAGCCACACATGCAAACAAATGTACTATATTTATTGGTGTGGAAAAGTTTGTCTTTTTCTTGTTTTTGTGTTTTTGTATTTTTTTTTGTACATTTGTGCCACTTACATGCTTCAGATCATCAAACAAAATTCTCTGATAATTGAGTACCTCTTGGAGTACCAATAGTACTCCAAGAGCACATCAATGGCTCATCCAGAAGGTCACAAAATTCTGTGGACTGATGAGACAAAAGCTGAACTTTATAGAAAGGTTGAGTGCCTTTGCATCTGGCAGAAAACACACAGCATTTCATAAAAAGAACATCAGACCAGCGATCGGTTCCTGCGTTGAAGCTCAATAGCACAAAGCAACTGAAAAGCAACCAGCAAGTCCACCTTTAAATAAAAACCAAATGAAGGTTTTGGGTTGGCCTAGTCAAAGTCTGGAGTTAAATTCTATTCAGATACTTTAGGATGACCTTAAACAGACCATTCATACTGAAACAATTCTGCCAAGAACAGTGGGCCAAAATTCCTCCAGAGTGATGTGAAAGATTCATTGTGAGTTATCCCAAATGCTTGATGCCAGTTCTTGCTGCCGTGGATGGCACAACCAGTTATTAGGTTTAAGGGGCAATAACTCTTTCCCACGGGGCAGGTAGGTTGGTTCGTTTTTTCACTTAATAAATGAAATCCTGATATAAAAACTGCACTTTGTGTTATATTTGAGTTATCCATGTCTAACATTAAGTTTTCTTTGATTCTCAAACATAGAAGTGGGACAAATGTGCAAAACAAATATGACATTAGGAAGGATGCAAATACTTTTTCGCACCACTATACATGGTGGCATGTGCTTGTGCCCAACTTTACCTCTTCTTAGATTCCTGTGGATACCCACATACACCCCAGATACGCCTTAGACCATGACCCACCTCACATATAAATATAAAACCTGTTAAAACTGCAGCCACAGCATATCTGAAAATAAAATAAAATAAATAAAGCTGCAACAAGCAGACAGATCCCCCAACTAAACTATATTTAGTTTTTAGTTCGATAGTGAGACATGGATAGTCTCACTATCGAACATTTTGTGTTTTTAACTGCTGTTGAGTACTTGATAGAGTATCTTTGAACATATCTTCTAGTATTGCTGGATGTAATAGCAAAGAATGGATTTACACCCAGACAAGATATCCATTCAGACTTCAGCGGGGTGTCGGAGCCTCGACAACGGCAGAACATAAAGGAGAACGCCAGACCTGAAGAAAAGCCTGCAGAGTCTTCAAAATCCTACATGGCTGATCAGCTAGAAGCTGTGAGGAGGTACGTAAGACTGCTGATTACATAAACATACTGTTGGTTAAAATAAACTCCTTGATGGGTATATTGACTGCAATTGTGATTGAAATTTGTAATCATGTGCTCTCTGCACAGGATAAAACAATGTAAAGACTTTTACGAAATTCTCGGGGTGTCGAAAGATGCCTCAGAGGATGAACTGAAGAGATCGTATAGAAAACTTGCTTTGAAATTCCATCCAGATAAGAACAGCGCTCCTGGGGCAACAGAGGCGTTTAAAGGTAAGACGGTGACTAAACTCATCCAAGGTTAATATAGCACTTACAGAAAGCAACTTATAGCAGCTTCATGTTATAACTTTCCAACAGCTATTGGCAGCGCGTACGCTGTTCTGAGCAATGTTAACA